TCACTGCATCTTCGCTCCGGCCGGCTCAGTGTCCGGGCTGGCTGGGCCGGGGCAGCGCTGGGCTCCCAGGGCGGGGCGCGAGCATGGCCGGCTCCGGGGACCGCCGCTACCTCATTTCTTCTCTCCCGAGGGGTGTCCAAGTCCGCTCTCCGGCTCTCCGCAGTCGGCTGCCCGCCTTCGCAGCGCGCCCTCTCCGGTGCTGCGAGCGGTGGCCGGCTCGCCCGCCTCACATCCTTGCCGTCCCGGAGCAAGATCGCGGGTAAATATAGGCCGGCGCGAACCATTCGCCGCGCGGGGACAGGGGAGGAGCCGGGACGAGGATCCGTTTGGGGCTCCGACGCCCGGCGGATTTCTGGTCTCTTAAAGGGACCCGGGTGCAGCCCTTGGTCCAGGGAGCGGGGAGACAGGTCCAATCTGTCCATTACATCCCAAATTTACCAGCCTCTTTCATCTACAGAAATTAGCAAGACCTGGGGTCACCCCGCAACTAAAGGAACTTGAACTCTGATACTCCACCCCCAGGCTGAATTGCAACTCACTGAATAAATGTATGGCTGGATCGAAACTTCTGGGGGAGGTGGTAGAAGATGAGATTATAGACTATAATTTCCTGTGCAAAAAAAGTTTGGGGAAATAATGTTTTTTTTCCCTTGTGTGACAGCTCTCTGAGAATGACTGGGTGCTGTTTAACAGCATTATTTTCACAATTTTATTCAATTAAAGAAAACAAAGAGGCATAAAAAAAACACCAAGACTTATCTTTCACTATCTTGGAACTCCTTACAGATAAGCATCAGATAATGAAAAGTGAGGTGAATGGCAAGGTGATTGGAGTGAACAACATAGTAATAGTCAATAAGTATAAGGTGATTTCCGCTCCTAACTGCCCTCCTGATGTCAGGCCTCAGTGAAGAACAGTTTACGGATAGACACACAACTGCTAAGTAATGCTTGTGCAGTAAGAACTGAGTTTACTTTGGCAGGCCAGTCATTCCATTTTATTATATCACTGACACATTTTGGATGAGAATTCCTAGTAAAAATTCAAATGGCACGTTTATGTGTGTCGAATAACACCTGCCCACCCTCCAATGGGAGTGATCATTGCATCAGTCACGCTTTTATCGTGTGCCAACTGGATAATGGAGTTTCAGTCATCTGATCAGCTTGACCCTTGGCTCGTAACTCATTTCTGGGCCCTTGAAACAACCTGCTTGCCTCTGTGGTCTGTGCAGTCAAAGCAAGAAGACCTAGTTGGAATGTGGTAAATATCCGGATGATCTTGCATCAAACTCTCAGGCCCATCCTGGAGGAGAACAGGGATCCCCACAGGCCCAGCCACTGGGAATCTTGGATGTCTCTGACTTCCATGCGAGGTCCTCATGTCCTGAGTGACTGCAGCTGCTCCTGGAAACTCCCTACCACCAACCTTTGCTAACTTTTAACCTTCCTTTGAATGCTAACCCAATTCTCTCAGTCACTGGTGCTGAGTTTCGGTTTAACTAACTTCGGAGTACCTTTTGATACCAGGCCCTGAGCTAGGAGCAAAGCCGATTCCTGGCTCCAAGAAGCTCCCAGCCCAATGAGGGGCATAACCACCCAACTCTGGGTTTCCACTGAAATGTAGGCTCTATTTGTATCCTAAGTGTGTGGTACAAATAGACACTCAATAACTGTTGAATTAATGAACAAGACATGCATGTGAAGAAGCCAGAGTGAGCTAAATGCTATGAGAAAGACCCAAAGTACTGTGAGAAGTTGGAAAAAGAAAAGGCTCATTATGACTTGGAAAATCAGAAGAGGCTTCATGGAGGTGGTAACCTTTGAAGGATAAGTAGAATTTCTCCAAACAGGAAAAGATTGAAGGGCTTCTGGGTATAGAGGACAGGAAGATTGTAGAAGCCTGAAAATGCAGCATATTTACAGATTAAGATGGAGTTTAATGATTGCAACAATGAAAGAAGAAAGTTTCCAGATCATGTTTTTTATCCTTCCTAATCTCCAGGGAAAGAAATGGCCTTTTCACAGCTGATTGGCCTCATGGTATCCTTTGACCAGTGCCATAATGCCTTACTCCTCAGCTGCACTGATGAGTTAATGGAGAGTTACCAGACACAGTGCTGGAATGAGGTAGTTAGGACTATAATAAATCACTTAATCCAACACTGATTCCTCAAATTTCAGGGCTATCTTGCAATGACAATGAAGTAGATAGGACATGCTCCAAATAACAAACATTTCTGGTCAAAACATACCAAATGTGATCTTCAACTGATCCATAATCTTGAAGTCTAAACTCTACAGAGGCAGACATCAGTCAGGAATGGTGGCTCATGCCTGTAATCCCAGCACATCTGGAGGCTGAGGTAGGAGGATCCTTTGAGCCCAGGAGTTTGATACCAGCCTGGACAACATAATGAGACTTCATCTCACTTTTATAAATTAAAAAAATAAAAATAACTAGGCATGGTGGCTCACGTCTGTAATCCCAGTACTTTGGGAGACAGTGGGGAAATTGCTTAAGCCCAGTTTAAGACCAGCCTGGGCGACATAGTGAGACCTCACTACATATATAGCCAGCCATGGTGGTGCGTGTCTGTAGTCCCAACTACTCAGGAAGCTGAGGTGGAAGGATGGCCCAGGCCTAGGAGGTTGAAGCTATGGTGAGCCGTGATCATGCCACTGTACTCTAGCCTGGGCAATTGAGTGATACACCGAATAAACAAATAAATAAACCAACAGATAAACCAGACATCATACTCAAGCAGTTAACATCTCTAAATGGCTCAGCGGTCCAAGGGCCAGAAAGGCTTAGAGAAGAGAGGACGAGGGAGCAGCGGTGGGAGCCAAGGCTGATCTCAGCCTCTACAAGAGACTCCACATTACACTTCACATGATCACAGGGAAACCATGGACCACAAGCGGTGGGGAGGAGGAGTCCACCGGTGAGCCAGGCTTTTCAGCAACAGCCAGAGTACCAGTTCCAGATGCACAGACCCATAGAGCTGCTCCTGTTGACTAGTCTAGGTCATGTCTTGACTGCCTTCTTAATAAGCTTGTTTTCAAACTCAGGAGAACAGAAAGGTTCTAGGCCAAGGGGAACACCCCGGCGTGAGTCACCTTCTGTGTCTGTGCTCAAATCCAGGAGGAGGCCGCATCGTCTCATGGCCTGGGCCTGGGCCAACCCTTTGGGGACAGCCTCACCTTATGAAAAAGCTGGCCACCTCCCCCCCCAAAACTAAGGCTGGGAGCGCGGGTAGCACCATTTATGAATCTACACCACAGATCTGAGACAGAACAGTTCCAGAACACAGCATCATCAGCAGCAAAGGCAAGCTGGGAAACAGGTTAGAAATTGCAGGCTGGGCTTTCTTAGTGATACTCCTCCATCTACTGGTAGAAAGCAGAAATGCCACTTAATAAGATGGTTTCTCACACAACCGGATAAGTTAGTGGCTGAAATCTACACAGGCCACGTCATGGCTGGAAGCAAATGCTGAACCGGGAGCCCCAGTCCTGAACTTGACATCTCCAAGAGTCAGCCTTTCATCTCACAGAAGGCATTTGGACCAACTTCCTCCCACCTTATGCCTTACATAATGCTCCTTCCTCTTTCTCCACCCGCCCTCCTGCAACATCCCATTCATCGGATGTTGGCTTTGGAGATGACAAATGACAAACCTGGAGTCTTCAAAGACATTCAGCAAATATTTGTTGAGTCTCCCATGGATGTGACATCGTTGCTGGGATGATAGCACAAATGATAACAGGCAGGTCTTTGCCTTTATGGGATTTACAGTCTTTGGGAGACAGATGACAAACAAACAAATAACTAATAAAATATCAGATAGTTGTAAGACCCTGGAGAAAAGGAAGCAGTACAGAAGTGGAAGATGGATGGTTTAGACAATATGGTCAGGGAGGGCGGCTTTGGGCAGAGACCCTAATATTTGCCAGCTGTGCAAAGAGACAGAGGAGAGCACTCTTGCTATGCTGCCTGGTATGTGGCCACTAGCCACACACAGCTGCTGCACACCTGAAACATAGCCGACCCCATTCAGATGTGCTACAAGGACAAAATACACACTGGCTTCTGAAGACTTTTGTAAGACAAAAAGAAAGTAAAAACCTCAGTATTTTTGTATTCATCATATATTGAGTGATACTACTTTGACTTTGTTGAGTTAAATAAAATTAATTTAGCCGGGCACAGTGGCTCAAGCCTATAATCTCAGCAGTTTGGGAGGTGGAGGTGAGAGAATTGCCTGAGCTCAAGAGTTCGAGACCAGCCTGAGCAACTTGAGGAGACCTTGTCTCTACAATAAATCAAAAAATTAACCGGGTATGGTGGCACATGCCTGTGGTTCCAGCTACTTGGAAGACTGGGGCAGAAAGATCATCAGAGCCCAGTAGGTCAAGGCTGCGGTGGCTGTGCACGAGCCATTGCAC